TTTTAGATAATAGAAAAAGGAACTATATATCGATAATTTGCAAAGCAAGGAAAATTTCTTCGAAATTTTCCGTAACAATGGACCTGGTGTTATATTTGTGGAAAAAAATATTTTATGAATAATTTTCAAAATTGGTCAAGCGGAAATATTGATATTGATGATTTAATTAAATACTATCAATTAAATGCTAAACATAGTGTTGATTTTATTGAATGGATTCCTTATGATCGATTCAAAGATTTCGAATTTATTGGGAAAGGTGGTTACGGCATTGTTTATTCAGCTGTTTGGCTGGCCGAAATTTTTAGAGAGGTACGTAGCTACCTACTATATGAATTTTTTTCATGTATATGTTGGGTTTGAAATTAGTATAGGTGTAGATTTAAAACTGAATTGCGTCAGACTGAAATTTGAGTTGGGGATGTGTGAGGTTACAATAGAAGATTTGTGTCGAACCAAATTGGTGATTTATATAAGTGATGCTAAGAAAAACCAAACTCTTGGCTTTTAAATTTATGTTTAAAAGCTGAAGCCGAAGTCTGACTTCTTTGGGCATTACTCATGCTATATTGTACATGTGACCAAGATATTTCGGCTTGTCTCGAAGCTATTACAGCTTATATTTGTATGATTAAAACAGAAATCGTAAATGCTCTAAACGCGATAATAATTTAATGAATTCCTTGTTATTAAACGTATTTCGTTTACTTTCACTCCAACGCCAAATATTGCAACTTACTATCATTCTGCTTTAGTGCTGATTTTTTGATTGTTAAAAAATGATCTAATTTCAAGTATTTAATCGATAACAGATAATGAAAGTAAATTGGTGCTTTTTTTCTTATTTGATGCAATATTTTGATATGAAAAGCTTAATTTGGCACGAAATACACAATAATCTGTTTTTACGATTTTAATTATTATTACATTCATTATATACATCACATAAATTATAATCTCGGTTTGAAACATCTAAGAATCGAACTTCATTCTGACGCAACTCAATTTTAAATCTACACCTCTTCTAATATGATGCACGACATATATCAGATATAGTATTTTTATAAATAATAAAGCTTACTATAAATTTATGTAGCCAATTGCGCTTATAGTATCTGCGATTTCACGTAGAAACGACATAATAAATTCTGATGTCCTTGGATGTTATGGGTTAAGTAAAGATCCTAATACCAATTCTTATTTGTTTGTTACGAAACTATGTAAATGCGATCTTTGGAGGTATTTAGAACAGAATTTTGGGAAAATAGATTGGTTTGAAAAATTGCGAATCCTAATGGAGGCTGCCAATGGATTAAAAACAATACATTCTGCTGGTCTTATTCATCGAGATTTTCATACTGGCAATATTTTAGTCAGTTATGATAATTCTATCTATATTTCGGATCTTGGGTTGTCATGTTATGAAGATAAGAATACAACAAATTCAGTAAACTCTGGTATATTTGGTGTTTTACCTTATATCGCTCCAGAATTGTTAAAAGGATATCCATACACATTTGCTTCAGATATATACAGCTTTGGAATTATTATGTGGATCATTGCATATGAAGAACTGCCTTTTGTCAAAGAAGCGTACGATGATATCCATTTGTTGATAACCATTTATAATGGAGGACACCCACGAAGTGATAAAAATGTGTTCATACCTGAATGCTATAAAGAATTAATGGAACAATGTTGGAATAGTATTCCATCAAATAGGCCAAATGTTAATGAATTATATGAAGTTTTAAGAGGATGGTACTTTGCTGGAATAAATGTTAATCAATTTGAGGTTGCAAATAAGAATAATAAGAATATTAAAATTATTGATACACCTCAACAGCCGTGGCCTAGTAAATTTATATCAACTACGCAAATAATTAGGGTGGTTGGTTCTAATGGCAGGCCAGAACGCCACTAAACCACGTGATAAATATTCTCACTTTTGATTTTACGTTTGTTCATTTTGTTTGGAACCTCCCATTTAAATGCCATGGGCATGTTTTATTGTGATTTGCTCGCCATCATTGCGCCACACTTAAATTGGCATGGACGCGCCTGACTTTGAAGTCCATCTGCGATGTCATATACCTTGCGCTAATAACCCTACATATAATGAATAATATTCCAAGTTATATTTATTGTATATTACATTGGTATTAAAATTATTGTTTTATTTTATTTTATTATTTTTTTTACCTAAATTCTGTACAATATGACCTCAATTCAGAAATTCCTATATATCTATACATATAACCTCAATTCAGGTTTGTAAATTCCTGATATATAATTTGTTTCAATAACATTATTCTTTAATACACTTCATGCAAAATAACATCTGATTCATCCCAGCATTTGTTTTTATATTACTTTTGAAAGACAA